CAGGAGGAGCTACCAGGGAGCACAGGCATTAAGGAGCCGGACCCACCGATCTCTGTCCAGGATCTGAAAGACCGTTCACATTGCTTTTAGAAATCAGTTCAACGCGGTGCTATTCTAAAAGAATAAGTCCAAAAGGCTTTTTTTAGGAGAAAATTAATGACTTTGAGAAGAACAAGAGAAATTAAGCAACAAGACAGCGTTCCCTACTTCCGATTTTCATCAGATGCTCATTAGTCTTCCGGAAATGAACTTGGCTTTCTCCCTCCCCCATCCAAACTCAATGCACCCTTCAAGATGAGCAGACCGGCGAGGGCAAGATACCCAAATGAAACTGGTGGCTGCCAACGGCACCCAGGGGCCCCTCACTTGGGAACCATTTTCTACACAGTGAGCTTTGGCATTGGGAAAGAATCCTCTTTCAAAGAGCAGGCTACTGATTTACTGGAAAGAGAACAGGAAACCTGGTTGTAGTCTAGACTGTGCCTGCTCCCCGGGTGACCTTGGGTTACACACACACACAGACACACACACACACAGGATTCAGTCTCTCTCACACATTTACATTCACACTAAGACACAAAGAATTTGGGGGCAACGGGGGTTGACAAGATAATTCTTAGGTCTTGGCCAAGTGAAAAACAAAAATATGAAGAACCCCACTGGGGAAAATAAACCCTCCAGTGGACCTTTAGAAAAATCCCTCATATGGCATGAAGTTATCTGCTCTGTCCCAGGGAAACCAGAGCAAGCTGCCTGCAACAGCTGCTTCAAGCAACAAGGTAGTGTCCCCATGACGGAGTCTGGCTTGGGAGAAACCTCTCCCTGCTCTCGTGGGCCTAACACCATGCCCTCCCCACCTGGCCCTTGAGACCCCAGTGGCCTTGAATTTCAGGAGAGACTCTGACCCCAGTGAAGGGCACTGGCTCAGCTAAGCTGGTGGGGCCCCCAGTAGAGACCACCTTGCTAGACAGCACCCCCTCCATGCCTGTACAACAACCCTTAACTCTAGCAAGGGGGCAGTGAAGCCTCTGGGTCCCCATTATTTTTTCTGCAAAATGGCCGGCTCTACAGCAAGCACCTTTACGCCCCACCACCCCCTCCCATGGCCAGGTCAGCCACAGGTCTGCCTCGCACCCCCCATGTATTCACCCACAGTTTTTCTGGACAGCCTTCTTTCCTTTTGCCCCCCAGCCTCCTGCTCCAGCAGGAAGACTGAGCACCCACCACTGGCTGCTTGGTTTACCAGCTAACTGGTTGACCAGACAGGGGTCCCTGCAGGCAGGGAGTTTATAACCAGGGTCCATGAACTGCCAAAAACTTGAAGACAAAATTTTGTGGGTGGTGCATACATGTATTTTTTTTTTTTTTGAGGTAAAAGCCAGCTCTTCTTCATCAGGTGCTCAAAAGTGTCCATGAAATCACTTTGTTTCTCTCATCACGTACACCCCTCCTCTATAGCCTCTCTGAAGCCATTGCTCTCAGATTTTCAGCTTCAAACGCTGTTAACTCCTTTTTCACACAACATTGAGCCTGTGGCTAAGGCATCGCACCCCATTTTACAGAAGAGGTAGTCAGGGGCTGGCACAACTTATAGTTTGCCCAAGGTCACAGCTGCTAAGAATAGACAAGACCAAACCCTGATTATGGCTGCACAAGTCCTGGGAAATGCTCCCCCAGGCCCGCTGCCTACCTACCTGTTGCTGGATTGTCCTCCTCACCCCCCAGATCTAGGCCGGGCCCCTCAGTTTCCCTCTGCCTTGGGAGGGCGGGGGTGGGGGGGCAGGTTTGCCTACATCTCCCTACCCCCAGGCTCTGGCTGAGCTGCTGGCAGGGAGTGGTGACAGCCTCCAGGGTTAGGCCCACCTAGAAGCGGTACCCCAGACACAAGAGCACCGGAGGGCAGGGGCGCTGTGAGGGCGTGCAGGTGTAGAACTGGTGCTGCCTCCCCTCCTTCCCTCCCCCCAGCCCCCGCAAGCAGGAAAGAAAGGCTGTCACCCCAGAGCCATTCCCCCGTGGTCCACCCAGTCGGCTAAGAACCTGAAGTCCAGGGGACCCCCACGAGTCGGGGGCCCCAAAGTCTGGGGTGGGGGGACAAATAGGGACGCTGACGGCCTTGGGTGCAGGGCGGGAGGGGGGCTCTGGATGCAGCCAAGACAAAGATGGAGAGGTAAGGTCTGCGCGTCCCTTCCAATGGCGGGGGGTTGGGGGGGGCGCGTCGGAGCTCCAGGGGTGCGGTCGCCAAAGCTTCGCGTTAGCGGAGAGGGCATACACAGGAGACCCAGGGGGTGGCAGATAGATCCGGGGACGAACCAGGGAGCATCTAGGAGGCGCAGGTGAGTAGGGAGAGCTGGGTCCAGGCGACCCAAGGGCCCACCTGCGGGAAAGGGGTGCATGCAGATGAGCTAGGGGTCCCTCGGGGGCGGCTGGAGGCTGCAATACGCGGCATCTCTGAGCCCCTGGGGGCCATGGATGGGGACGGCGACCCTAGGGGCGCCTCCCCGAGCGGGCTGGGGGTGGGGAGGTGAGTGGCCACCTTTGGGGCGCACCGGGTCGGTCGGGGGCCTCCGGGTCGGGTGCCCGAGACAGCCGCGGGGCCGGGGGGCGGGCCGCGCGCTTACCCGCGTCCTCATCGTCGAAGGAGTTCATGCACGGGAAGTAGATGGCGAGCGCCTCGAAGGAGGCGGACAGGCTGAGGCGGC